CGTGAACGAGTAACAAACATCCATCCATACTTTGACGACCTCGGTGGTAGCGGTCTAGCACACCGCTTTACGTCCGATGGTCGCGGGTTCGATTCCTCGCATGGCACAAACATTTGTATTCATGAGTATGATCGTTTGTATCGGTCTGGGTGGTTTCTATGTATATTATGTATGTATTTACGAAAAAAAATTTCTATGTATTTGTATCAGTTATCTAGTATCCATAACACAAGCTTTAGCTAGCTTAACTTGGGTCTAGATGGTGCTGTGTGAATTGTCCTGAGATTATTATTATTATTATTATTCCTAACTTCCAATAGCTAGCTTAACTTGGGTCTAGATAGCGCTGTGTGAATTGTCCTGAGAATATTATTATTCCTAACTTCCAAAAAAAAATCTCATCTCCCCTCTTAAAGAGAGGAGATGGCAACTTACCCCCGGCAGATTGTTATTATTATTATTATACTTACAAACTTTCGCGTTTATAATATTAATAAGACATATATATGTTAACTGCTTTGGCAACCCTATCCGAGATTTCAGTTTTATACAGCCCTAGAGCTTTGTACGTGTGTGACCGATTTTATAACTTTTTTATAGTTACGTCACTAGAATTCCGTTTCTTTCTATGGACGGACGGTAGCTATAATCTATTTCTCTTATTTTACTGTGCACACTTTTAGATACGTGCCAAATAATATCTGACCTTCGAGATATTTTGTATTGCTGTTGTATATACATTAAGGTTTTTTTCTATAGTCTAAATATTCCATAATGTATATTATCTATATATGTATACTAAATTGCTAATTAAAATTCAATCTTGGTGGTCTAGCGGTTTAGCACACTGCTTTACTTCGAATATTCGCGGGTTCGATTCCTCGCACGGTGCAAATTCGTATTCCTGAGTCTATTTATATCGATCTGGGTGTTTTCTATGTTTTTGAACAAGCCATCATATGGTCCAATGGTCGCGGGTTCGATTCCTCGCACAGCGCAAACATTTGTATTCATGAGTATGATTGTTTGTATCGGTCTGGGTGTTTTCTATGTTTTTGAACAAGCCATCATATGGTTCAATGGTCGTGGGTTCGATTCCTCGCACAGCGCAAACACTTGTATTCATGAGTATGATTGTTTGTATCAGTCTGGGTGTTTTCTATGTATAATATGTATGTATTTAAAAAAAAATGTATATATATCAGTTATCTAGTAACCATAATACAAGATTTAGCTAGCTTAACTTGGGAATAGATGGCGCTGTGTGAATTGTCCTGAGATTATTATTATTATTATTATGTAATATTATGTTATCTGTGTTATTATATACTAACGAAGCCCATCATTGCACTCAAACATATTAGAGGAAATAGATTTATATAGTTCTGTAAATTAACACAAAATAAATTATTTCATTAATCGTGAATTTTATAATCATCGCGTCAAATATCACAGAACAATATATACATACATATAAGTAAATACCATAGGGTTGTTTTAAAAACAACCCTATGGTATTTACTTTGGTATTTTCTTATTTTCAACAATTGTAATCAGAAACATTTATTCAGTATAAGAAATAATAGGATTGTTGTATGAGAAACGTTTCGACGAAGTAATGTAAAGTGAACAGACCAGTCCTCATAAGCAGCATCCGTTCACGAGTATGACGGATGAGCGTCATTGCACTCACCCATATTAGAGGAAGCATATTTATTAAATTAACACAATTATATATTCCGTAATTTATACATAAATAAAATTGGAGTGTCTGTATGTAATATTGAAATAACCATTTTTTTCTACATGCATATGAATATAAATACGGTACATACACCAAAATAACTTTTGTTTGTATGTATGTCTGTCGGTCTGTTTGTTCCGGCTAATCTCTGAAATGGCTGGACCGATTTTGACGGGACATTTTTTGGAAGGTAGCTGATGTAATAAGGAGCAAGTTAGGCTATTTTTATTTAAAAAAAATTAAGTTAAATTCCACAGCTAGTTGTATATAAAATTATAAACGCGAAAGTTTGTGAGTGCGGATGGATGTTTGTTACTCTTTCACGCAAAAACTACTGAACGGATTTTGATGAAACTTCACAGTGATGTAGCTTATACATCAGAACAACACATAGGCTATAAATTTCACGCGGCTGAAATCACGGGCAGAGCTGGTATGTATATTAATTGTATATTTTATCATCACAGAGTAACACAAAAACAACCCTATTTCCTTATACCACAGAGCAACACAAAAACAAACTTATTTTTTTTTATAATATTTCCTTATTTTCAGCAATTGTAAACAGAAACGTTTTTTTGTTCAGTGTTATATATAATATATATAAATAACCGGACTGTTTTACGAGTAGCATTTCGGTTCATCAGCGGTACACGTGTAAGATCAAAGACTATTATAATTTGAATATTGCAAAGAGGTATTGAATAATTGGACACTGAACAAAACAAAGGCACGTAGTGATTCGCGTTACAATAGAAGCGTGGGATTGTATTAAAATTTACATAAACAAAGGTAGTCACGGTTGAAAGTACCCCTCCGATCGATCCCCCGTCCAATTCGAACGGGGATCGAAATTACGACGGCCTGAGCCGAGGTTCGAACCCCTAGTGGTGCCCTCAGACTAAAGTCGTATCCGTCAGGCAGGAGTTGGCCTTCAGCCGCTCCATAAGTCCTTCCGCGGGTTTGGAGTGCCATCTGCACTCGCCCCATAACGTCCGGTGAAGCTGTAAAGGCCAGCTACGGCCAACAGCATTAGAGTAGTCCGAAAAAAAAAAAAGGTTGAAAGTGGCTTTATACAAGTTTTATTGTATTCTAATAATATATTTTATTACCGCAAAGTAAATTATGACGACCTCGGTGGTCTAGCGGTTTAGCACACCGCTTTACGTCCGATGGTCGCAGGTTCGATTCCTCGCACGGCACAAACATTTGTATTCATGAGTATGATTGTTTGTATCGGTCTGGGTGTTTTCTATGTATAATATGTATGTATTTACGAAAAAAAAAATTATCTATGTATTTGTATCAGTTGTCTAGTACCGATATCACAAGCTTTAGTTAGCTTAACTTGGGTCTAGATGGCGCTGTGTGAATTGTACTGAAATTATTATTATTAATTATATTCTAATATGTACTTTACGTCCGATGGTCGCGGCTTCGATTCCTCGCACGGCACAAACATTTGTATTCATGAGTATGATTGTTTGTATCTGAATAATAATAATTTGCCATCTCTTCTCCTTAAGAGGGAGATGAGAATTTTTGGAAAAAAAAAATAATAAAAATCTCAGGACAATTGACACAGCGGCATCTAGACCCAAGTTAAGCTAGCTAAAGCTTGTGTTATGGGTACTAGACAACTGATACAAATACATAGATTTTTTTTCCGTAAATATACATACAAATTATCCATAGTAAACACTCAAACTGATACAAACAATCATACTCATGAATACAAATGTTTGTGCCGTGCGAGGAATCGAAGCCGCGACCATCGGACGTAAAGCGGTGTGCTAGACCTCTAGATCACCGAGGTCGTCAAATTAGATGTTTAGTAGGTATTAGTAGTACGAGGATAGTAACAAAATGAAAGAGGCCGAAGTTTCGAGTCTCGTATTACAAGCGGTTGGTTAGCAACCATATATTGACTTTTGTTTACCGTAAAACCATATAAAAGTTGCTCTTGATATAAGATATAATATTTCTAGTTTATCTCAATACATTAATATCGGTCTTAACATCAAAATTATTACAAAGATAATTGTATATATTCTGTGTATATTCGTATATATTTCTTTACTAGTTGTACCCGCGACTGCGTCCGCTTGGAATCTAACTTTATTTTTCTAAAATGAAGGTAGCCTAAGTTACTCCTTATTACATCAGCTATGTGCCAAAAAGTTCCGTCAAAATCGGTCGAGCCATTTCAGAGATTAGCCGGAATGAACAGACAGACCGACAAAAATTGTAAAAAAATGTTATTTTGATGTATGTACCGTATTTATATTCATATGCATGTAGTAAAAAACGGTTATTTTAATATTACAAACAGACACTCCAATTTTATTTATAATTTTATTAACAAGAGCAAGAGCGATTCAAAAGGAAGGTTTATATATATATATATATATATATAGTACATATACGAGTATCTAGTAAGAAATTAAATTACTCAATAAATTGTTAAAAATTTAAAGAAGCTGGGTCAAATGCATCTGATAAACGAGTGGTCAAAACGAAAGGTGACTTTTTGAAATTGCAAGAGCGGTAATGAAACTTACCAAAATGTATGTTAAAAATTTACCATAATAGCTGTTACTCAACTAATTACATGAAATACTGCACAGACATAAACATTAGTCATGCTTAACGTGACCACTTATTCTTTGACTGAAAACGGGACATTGGTATAAATAAACCAATGTCCGGTTTTCAGTCAGTGAAGATAGTCAAAGAAGAAAAGAATTTCTTTAAATATTATTCAGAAAAAGTTAGTTAGAAATTAAGTATTATCTCATGAACAAATATTTAAATATATATAACTCAAAGGTGACTGACTGACATAGTGATCTATCAACGCACAGCCCAAACCACTGGACGGATCGGGCTGAAATTTGGCATGCAGGTAGATGTTATAACGCAGGCATCCGCTAAGAAAGGATTTTGATTAATTCTACCCACACGGGGACAAAATAGGGGTTGATAGTTTGTATGAAACTTAGCCGGACTTTTGATCGGGCTGAGACTTTGCATGCATAAAGCTACTATGACATAGGCATAGGAATTTGATAAATTCTACCCCTAAAGGGATAAATTAACGCGCGCGAAGCTGCGGACAAAAGCTAGTGAAGCTTTTAAGTAAGACTGAAACTCGTGGCACGTTTTTTATATTTTTAATTAATTAATTAATTATCAACAATAATCAACATCACAACCGGCCCGCTTGACCACACAAATTTTCGCGGAGTTTCCAAAAATGGGACAATTTTACGTCCCAGAGTTCAATTTGGGAATACGGGTAATTATAAAAAGGGACAGTCCCGTTTAAAACGGAGACGTCTGGTCACGTTAGTCATACTGCTATCGGTGCACTGATCTTGTTGGTTGTCCTTAATTTTGATCATATCAAACGTCGCCAGGTATTTTGTAATGTTTGAAGTTTTGTAGAAATATTTTGACGGCTGCTTGTGGATATAACGGATTATTGTCAGTCGACAGACTGATTGTGCTTGGAGATTGGACCTATTTGCACATGTATATAAAGTGCAATATAACATACAATATATTGATCAACAATCACGGCCAATATATGTACATATAAAGCAGTTGTGGAAACCATCATCAAATTTTGTATTTGTAATTATATTGCTTAGGGCTCCATTGTTAGCAATGTCCTCCACGCGGTTTCCCCTGGAAACCATCCTGATAAATTCCTGGTCACGATGGGATAACTGACCTGAGCTCATTCTCCACTGGTGCTCTGCCAGCGTACGCCGTTAGCGCAGGCGGATACATCATTGCTTTATCATTCACTAAAAATATATATTGCTGGCCATTGTAGCTTCAATTTTAACTACCGTATTATTTAAAATATTATTTCAAATATAGCTAATTTGACCAAAGAATTTATTAATGGACATAAGAACTGTATTAAAATAAATATACTCTTATGTAGTTTTAGTGCTATTTGGTAGTTTGTATTCACACATTTCAATTTAAAAATGTAAAGTTGCAACAATGATTTCAAAGAGCAACACGCAAGTTTCCTGCTCATTCTTCTTGAGATAAGACAGCTTTCTGAATGAGCGGTAGAATAAAATAATAAGTATGACTATTCAAAAGTAGTTAAATTTGAGTTTATTTGAATAAAGAATATTTAATTCTATTCTGTATAATTTTCTTAACTAAATTCTTCCATGTAACATTCAGATAGAGAAGAGAACAATAGAAAGTGCGTTAGTAGGATAAAAAATCGTCTATGCGGTGTTTCCCAAGTAGTGGCACGTGTACCTCCAGGGGTACGTGAAGTTACGTCAAGGAGTATGGCTACCAGTAGAAACAAGAACAAATTCCAAAATACCGCTAAAAAGAATCCATTTATCGTATCTCCTCAGTTTCAAGACACTCTCCTTGATGTGAAGCCAAATCTCGAGGTCCTTGGCGTTGATATATCCAGTGACGTTCAGTTTTGCGGTCATTTGGAGGACAAGGCTAAAATAGCCTCAAAAAAGCTTGGTGTGCTCAGTAGAGTGAGACGGTACTTCACGGCGGCCCATCGCTTGCAATTATACAAGGCGCAGATCCGGCCGCACATGGAATACTGTTCTCACCTCTGGGCGGGAGCACCTCAATACCAGCTACTTCCATTTGACCGCATTCAGAACCGAGCAGCCAGAATCATTGGTAATCGTCTATGTGACAGACTCGACCCATTGGCTTTGCGGCGTGATATTGCATCTCTGTGCATTTTCTACCGCATATATCACGGGGAGTGTTCTGAGGAATTGTTCGGATTAATACCAGCTGCTGAGTTTCACCACCGTACCACCCGCCAGAAACTGAAATACCATCCTGATCATCTGGATGAATGGCGGTCTTCCACAGTGCGGTTTTCTAGAAACTTTTTGCCTCGCACAACCACATTGTGGAATCACCTTCCAGCAATGGTATTTCCGAACCGATACGATATTGAAACGTTCAAGAAAAGAGCTTATTCCTTTTTAAAAGGCCGACAACGTACTTGCAATTCCCCTGGTGTTGCGGGTGCTCATGGGCGGCGGTAATCACTTACCATCAGGTGAGCCGCATGCTCGTTTGTCCCCTGTGTTATAAAAAAAAAATATTTCATCACGATCATCGTCGTAAAAACAAGCAGCACCGAGCACTGTGAGCCGTGCGCTATCCCGCGCCTTCCACATCTCGTCATTCAGCTGCCCCCTTCACCTGTCACCCGTTCCCGCTTCCCGCCAGTACGGTTTTTGTCGTAATATTAGTGTGATTGCAACAATAATATGCAAGTTTGAGGTCTTTTTTGAAGTGGTACGCAGCAAAAACTAATTTGGAACCACTGGTCTATAGTCATCTGATAATATTATAATATTATTTTCCAGATATTGTAACGTACTTAAGTATTCTTTGTTTGCTTAATAATTAACAGTTATGTTTTTTTCACGATCTATGTTATAATTGTATATTATACTGTATCGTCTGTTTGTAGTAAAATATAAAATGTAGAAAAAAAAACTTAATCTTAATTTCTAGGCTCATTATGTCAACACTACTTAGTAATATAAAATACCAAAATAAATTAAACAAAAAATGTATATATATGGAAAGCTAAGGTAAAATTAAAATTGTTTTTCGAACAATATTGAACGCCATGTCACTTATTATCTTTTATGAAGTTAACTACACCCGTTCAGGCATGTCGGAGACTCGACCGAGATATACTAAGCGATGACCTCAACGACATACTGATTGCAAACAAAATATTCCTGCAAGCAACCAGGGCCGTCTTTCACCTATTAGAGGCCGTGGGCATTATGATAATGGGGCCCCTATAACCATAGGAATAAAGCACTATTTTGTTAGAATAGACAAAGTCATTTTTGAACATGACTAGAGATCTATATGGGAATTCTACCTTCAAAACAAACTAGGCAAAAATATTTTTAAATAGTGTTAGTACGTTATGTGATGAGGGGTTTAAGATTTTGCTAGACATTTATAAGAAAATTAACAAGAACGATCAAATTGATCACAGTCGGTAAGCATTTGTTAAGACTGATTTTCAGGCGAGAGTAGAGTAGCTATCGGTTATCGTTTGGTAATCGAGTAGGGACTGGACTAGACTAGAGGGCCTCAATACATCGCGGGCCCTGGGCATGTACTCAGTGTGCCTAGTGGGGGAGAGGAGAGTAGCCTGCAAGCAACCATTGATTCTAATGCGATTATCAAACAGATTCAGGTGAAGGTCGTATATGTTTAACAGCACTATTGTTCAATGAAGAAATAGTTTCCTTATTTGCCATCTGGTTCGACCTTATCCTTCACTCTTATTCTATAAAGAATAAAGGCTATAATCGCATAAAAGTCCGTATAACAATGAATTTAATCGAGCTTACAAATAGATTGTAACCCATGACTTGCTGATTCATCGATAGATTTGAATCTGTTAACGTTTTGGGCGAATATTACTAAAGGTTTATTATTTTATAACATAATTGTGTGTTTAAATATGTTAGTTGTTTACTTGTTTGTGTATTTTGTCATTAGTATATTATAATTATATTTGTCGGTAATAATTTATATTACGAAAATTGAGTGGAGTATGAAATTTTGCATACTTATATATATTTTTTTTTTATTTATAACTCTTTATTGCACCTTAAAAACAATACAAAAAAAAAACAATATTCATAATATACAGAAAGGTAGGCTAGGTACAAAAGGCGGTCTTATCGCTAAAGCGATTTCTTCCAGACAACCTTTGGGTATAGGAGAAAAGACAGAAGGTGGTGGATGGCGCAAGATGGAATGAATAGACAGAAATAATAATAGTAATATATCATATATATCCACATATATATATACATACACACATAATATAAATACATATACATACATCATACATAATATAAATATAAAATTATAGTTTATTTAGAAGTACAGAATGATAATATTTTTAAAACAATTTTATACTTATAACTGGCTTCTGCCCGCGGCTTCGCTCGCGTTATTTTATCCTCTCAGGGGTGGAATTCATCAAAATCCTTTCTTAGAGGATACGTACGTCACAGTAGATTTATGCATGCAAAGTCTCAGCCCGATCGGTTTGAAATTGACAAAGTTTCATACAAACTTTCATCCCGTATTTCATCCCCTTGAGGGAAGAATTAATCAAAATCCTTTCTTAGCGGAAGCCGACGTCATAACATCTACCTGCATACCAAATTTCAGCCCAATCTGTCCAGTGTTTTGGGCTGTGCGTTGATAGATCACTATGTCAGTCACCTTTGAGTTATAAATATATAGATATACTCTTTGTTTTATTGTGAGTCTGTGGTCAAATAGTGAACAGATTAAATTGCTTATCTTTAATATTATTTTTCTATACTACTCCTTGGTCAAATTTTGGCCACTGAGCGACCACTAAATAAAGATAGATAAAACTTTACAACTTTATCTTTTTGTGCATTATTTGAAAATTTGTATTGTATATATAAGAGAGATATTTTTTCTTTTTCTATATCATGTAGAAGGTCTTAAAATTCCAGTATTTTATTGTACAGATTTCCATAATTAATTAAATGACTTTAATTCTCGCATACGAGTAAATGCCGATTAAGTTACTGAATTTTATACTTATACTAGCTGACCCGTGCAACTTCGTCTGCGTTTCATTTCATCACCATTTGCAATATTTTTCATTGCAGCGCCGCTCCTATTGGTCGTAGCGTAATGTTATATATCTTAAAGCCTTGACAAATGAACTATCCAACACAAAAATATTTTATCAATTCTAGAACTAGTAGTTCCTGAGATTAGCGTGTTCAAACAAACAAACTCTTCAGCTTTATAATAGTACTAGGTACTCGCCCCGGCTTTGCACGTATACGCACGTGTAGATGTATAAATCTCCTAAATATATATAAACCTTCCTCTAGAAACACTCTGTCTATTAAAAAAACCGCTTCAAAATCCGTTGCGTAGTTTTAATGATTTAAGCATACATAGGGACAGACAGACAGCGACAGCGACTTTATTTTATACTATGTAATAAAGTATAGATTAGAGAATCGACATTCACTGATGGTCAAATAACACGAAGCATCCTAATATTGGATGCAATTGAATGGAATGGAATGTCTATGGTATAGCGTACCTTACTGTATACCATAGTACTGTATTTATTAACTTTATATAAATCTTTGAGATATTATCGTATATAATATCTTTACTTTATTGTTTTACTAGCTACCGACCCTGGCTTCGCACGGGTAAACATGTATTATACATACATATAAACCTTCCTCTTGAATCACTCTATCTATTAAAAAAAACCGCTACAAAGTCCGTTGCGTTGTTTTAAATATTTAAGCATACATGGGGACGGACAGACAGCGAGAGCGACTTTGTTTTATACTATGTAATAATAATGACTAGCTGTATAAATTTCAATATAAATGTGTTATGTGTTATTCTGATGCATAATCTATATTACTGTAATGTTTCATCAAAATCGGTTCAGTAGTTTTTGCATGAAATACACAAACATCCATACTCACAAACTTTCGTGTTTATAATATTATTAGGATTAAGATAGCAAGGTTGGTATGATTATAGTACAGTGTAGTATATATATATATTGTTACTTAATATAATATTATTCAGATTTTTCTAACTTGTTACATACAACACAAACAAAAAAATCAATATTTATGACATCATATTCTGGTTCCTGCAGGAAACTTCCAGTCTATTGTAAGTACCAATGTTAATTTATATGTACATTTAAGTCAACAAATTTGTTTTGCATTAATATAATAATTATATCCTTGAATTGCTAAAATTTTGATCAACTTAATATAATAATTATATCAAAAAAAAACTTAACAAAAAAAAACAATATTTGTGACATCATATTCTGGTTCCTGCAGGAAACTTCCAGTCTATTGTAAGTACCAATGTTAATTTATATGTACATTTAAGTCAACAAATTTGTTTTGCATTAATATAATAATTATATCCTTGAATTGCTAAAATTTTGTTCAACTTAACAAAAAAAAACAATATTTGTGACATCATATTCTGGTTCCTGCAAGAAACTCCCAGTCTATTGTAGGTGCCAATGTTAATTTATATGTACATTTAAGTCAACAAATTTGTTTTGCATTAATATAATAATTATATCCTTGAATTGCTAAAGTTTTGTTCAACTTAACAAAAAAAACAATATTTGTGACATCATATTCTGGTTCCTGCAGGAAACTCCCAGTCTATTGTAGGAACCGATGATAATTTATATGTAATGTACATATAAGTAAATAAATTTGTTATTTAAAGAAAGAAAGAAATAAAAAGCAGGGTCCAAGCATTCTACCTCCGTGACGCAAGATTCGCTAACGAACTACTTAATGCATATAATGAGACCAAAATATATTTCAAGTACACACGTATGTCGCAATCTGGGCCAATCAATAATTTCAGCGACATATAAAAACGTCAATTCGAACCTATGACCCATCAGTGTTGTGGGGAACGTGACATTAATCATTTACAATGCGAAATATTGTAAGTTGGTTGATAATAACAAAACAGATAATTATTAACTTGAGAGAATAGAGTGACCAAAAATAAAAGTAAAAGTAGCCTAAGTTACTCCATATTACCGATTTTGGAAAATCGGTCCAGCCATTTCATAGATTAACCGGAACAAATAGACAGACAGAGAGAAAGACAAAAATTGTAAAAAATGTTATTGTTATTTTGGTGTATGTACCGTATTTATATTCGTATGCATGTAGTAAAAAACGGTTATTTAAATATTACAAACAGACTCCAATTTTTTATATGTATATATAAAAGTACAGTTGTATTCGAATATAATAATTTTGAATTTCCTTTGTTGTAAAGGATATTGAATATTACTGGAACAAAATATTGTTGTATAAATCGGAAATATGTTCTGAATAGAATTATTAAGTATAAATAATGCAAATTTATTATACTTAATGTAAGAATATTATATATAATACGATTCAGTGTCCCTACTATCCAGTTTAGCTAGCCATTTCATTTGATAAGAACTGGCAAGAACTCCATTGTAAAATTTTGTTGTCATTACTTTTTTATATACATTATAAGATTGTATAATCATATCATTTGAAAGCCTAAGGTACGGGTTCGATGCCTCTCACAGTGCAAATATTGCATTCATGAATATGATTGTTTATGTTGGTTTGGGTGTTTTTTATGTATATGTTTTTACAAAATAAAATCTAATTAATTATATCAGTTATCTAGTACCTATGATACAACAACTAAATAGTTCTGTACGAATTGTTTTGGGTTATTTATTAATATTATTTAATTTGCATAAACAATAGAAAGGTATTATAAAAAACCTATATGAAAATAGTCTGTAACATTTAATAGAGTTCGTGTAAGTTTCACATTACGGACTTTTTAAATATTTTCATACTTACTTGTTTTATTACGTACTACTCGCCCCGTCTTCGCACGGGTGTACATGTATTATATATATAAACCTTCCTCTTGAATTATATTATCTTTTAAAAAAACCGCTTTAAAATCGTTGCGTAGTTTTAAAGATTTAAACATACATAGGGACAGACAGCGACAGTGACTTTGTTTTATACTATGTAATGATAAACATTATTAGTTAAATCTCTCTCACATTTATTTGTAACCAAAAATAGGTATTATCATCCTACACAATTTCTACTGACGACTTACTTGAGAGATTGAAAATTGTTTACATTATAAACTCAGTATATATATTAATGTAAACAAAGTGATTGTATTTGTAATTGCAGATATTTCTTGCCGCCATCTTGGCATATACAACGGCTGCACCTGCCCTGCTACTCGGCCATGAGGCAGAATTCATCCACTCTGTTCCACTAACAGCCAAATCCACAATCACCAGAAGCAACCAAGTCGTTGATCATGGAAGCACTTTAATCCACTCGCCTATAGTCCCCGTCGTTCATCAAGCTCCATTGATTCATGCAGCTTCAGTGGATATACCTGCATCTAAGTTTACAGTCACGAAGAGCAGTCAAGTAGTAAATCATGGCAGCACTGCTGTAGTTCATAGTGTACCATTGGCTACACATATTCAAGATGCCGTAGTTGCTGTTCCGTCCAAAACGACGGTTACAAAAAGCAACCAAATTGTTGACCATGGAAGTACGTTAATACAATCGCACGTTCCTGTTGTACATACACCTCCAGTTGTTACACATTCAGCATTCTTGGCTCATTCGGCCCCATTACTAGCTCACTCGGCCCCATTATTGGCTCACTCGGCCCCATTATTGGCTCACTCAGCCCCATTACTAGCTCACTCGGCCCCATTACTAGCTCACTCGGCCCCATTAGTGAGTTTGAAGACCGGAGACTCAGCGGTGTCACATCATCAATCGACTGTCCACGAGACTGTACCAGTAGTGAAATCAGTGCCTCTAGTCTCTTTGTACCATTAGATTGTTTTGTTTCTGTTAACCATACTGTTGTTTTTAATAAAGAATAACTCCTATATAATGAATTTTTATTATCTTCATGAGAAAGTACTACGGCTAACTATTCCTTTTCGGTCCTAGTATAAGAGGGTAAACAACAACAAATACACTAGTGTGGGTGTAAAAAAAACCTTGACGTGAACCCTACCCAAAACTAAGTTAACTCTGCTCGTAAGAGACACATGCTCATAATCATTGCGATGATAAGAACTTCTCATGATGATGAAATATTTCTTAAAGTTAATATATTTTTGTTTGTTTAAAAATGTTAAAATTACTATATAGTGGACATAACAGTAAATTATCTACTATGTACTTGTAGTTACTCTGCTTTGACTAGATAACTTTGGAGACTCATGGCAGAGGCGTTTTTATGCCTAAAAAGAGGCTTCATCGACTAGTTACATGAAGAAAAATTTTGTTACCCAAATGAATAATTTAAAATTTTGAATTGGATTGATTATAAGTAAAATTGTAGAGGAGACTGATTTAGAAAACAGTTACAAAAATAAAAGAACGGTATGAATAAAATACATAAGTATAGCAGTCAACTAGTTACATGAAGTAAAAAATTTGTTACCCAAATAAATAATTTAAAATTTTGATTTGGACTGTTAATAAGTAAAATTGTAGAGACTCATTTAGAAAACAGTTACAAAAATAAAAGAACGGTATGAATAAAAGATATAACTATCAGTGACGTATTTATATCTACCGAATAATGTTAGCTAACTATTAACAAAGCCTTATGTCCCTTGATACTACAATAGAAGCGGTATTAATATCGTCCAATAATATCAATATTTCACTCTTAATGTACTGTACATAAATGTCGTAGCAAACCGATTCGTGTATGAATTGTCCTAATTATTTAGCAATGAAAGTTATGAGTTATGGTACTGAGCCAAATATTCTCCAGAATAAGATTATATATATTTTACTACCAATTGTTGCTAGCCTAAAAGCGTTTATAATTCTCAATTCAACATTTCTTTATTATCCACACCAGCTATTGGTTCATCTAATGAAAATTTAGTTGTTTTTTTTAATGGATGATAATGGAATTGTGCATCCGCCTGCTCTAAAGATTTAAGACAAGGCACCAGTGGAGGATGATAAGATGAGCATAAGGTTAGACAAGTTAGTACATGGTGTCAAATTCATCAGGAATTTATCACATGGTTTCCAGGGGGAACCGCGTAGATCAACCTAATACGGTACATTGATAGCAATGGGGTCAACAGTAACATTCTGTTGATTATAAACATGATCTGCAACATAGACAAAATAAAATATTTATAATAGTAGTATTTCGGAAAGAGAGACGAGATGTTAGAGAATTTATTAAGCCTAGCTTAATAATATTTCAGAGTTAGTTCTTGAACCGTTTGATGTCTCTGTCAGACAGTGATGGCGTATAAAACTAAAACTGACAACAAATTAAACTTTTCCATATAAACTGAAACAGTTTCGTGTAGAATGAACAACGTAATTAACGCAATTTCGATGGTAACTCCAAACTATTGTTTGTATCAATTCAACAAAGACTAACTTTCATGTGCCTAATGACTCGTGAACACCATTACGTCTAAAAGCGAGTAATTGATTCACAGTTCATTGAACTGGAGTATGTATCTATATATTTTACGTCATAATCTATATCTATACTTAATATATAATGTCAAAATTCACATTCAAATTCAAAATATCTTTATTCTTGTAGGTCTATTACAGACTCTTATGATATGTCAAATATACCATCAGTTCCGAATTATTTCGAGATGAGAAGAACTGACAAGAAATTCAGCTCGTAGTCTTTTCAAATATATGTGTTTACAATAATACAGATTCATTTTTAAATTCAAATTTGGGAGAATAGATATACCACCAGCATATGCAATCGCAAAAGTCAAAATATTCTAATCAGTGCTCCTAACCCAAACAGATCAGTCCCTATAAGTACCACCCATTCACGAGTATGACGATTGAGCCAGACATCATTGCACTCAAACATATTAGAGGGATATTGACTAAGCTCACCACTGCTTCAAATTACTCCACTACGTAACAATCACAGTTTTCACCCATTACAATATTTAAATTACAATATATCATTACTAAATCTATATATATAAATAAAATTGAAGTTTCTGTAATATTGAAATAACCGTTTTTTACTACATACAATTTTTGTCTGTCTGTCTGTCTGTATGTTCCGGCTAATCTCTGAAATAGCAGGACTTATTTTGACGGGATTTTAATCTCAGACAGACAGACAAAACTGAAAAAAATGTTATTTTGGTGTATATACCGTATTTATATTCATATGTATGTAGAAAAAAATGGTTATTTCAATATTACAAACAGACACTCTTATTTTATTTATATGTATAGATGGACCCGGCACCCGCACCGTGAAAATATGGACTTTCAAGAAATTTGTCTCCTATTTCTTTAGTGTTGGAAATTATATGGAGAGAACTAAAGATCTGAATTCGAAATACATCTCGATCTATTGGGTGCAGAATCATGCGTACACACTTTTACACACTCTCAAAGGTAAAGGGACAAACGGCCCACATAATTACAATACTCATGAGTATGATTGTTTGTATCGGTCTGGGTATTTTCTATGTATAATATGTATGTATTTACGAAAAAAAAAAAAAAAAACATATCTATGTATTTGTATCAGTTGTCTAGTACCCATAACACAAGCTTTATTAGAGATTATTATTATTATTATTATTATATAAAAAGTTGCAAAGTCTCGACAAGAAAATATAAAATGAATGCAGATTTTTATCTGCAATGTTTCCGACGAAAATAAGTTTTTATTTATTTAGTTGGTATCTAAAGGGTTACCAACTCGTAAAGGGGCTGGAAAATAAGGATTGATTCTATGTTAAATCGAAGCAATAAATAATATAAATACATGTAATAAAAACATATCCTTATTCTTACTAATATTATAACTGCGAAAATAACTTTGTCTGTCTGTCTGTCTCGCTTTCACGCTGAAACCACTGAACCGATTTAAATAGATAGTCTAGACACTGACAAAGGATATAGGCTACTTTTTAATGCGAAAAAAGGGTTGTCACTTTACTTCCGGTGGTCGCGGGTTCGATTCCTCGCACGGCACAAACATTTATATTCATGACTATGATTGTTCGTAGCGGTCTGAGTGTTTTCTATGTATAAGATGTATGTGTTTAGGAAAAAAACTCTATGGTTTTGTGTCAGTTATCTAGTACCCATAATACAAGCTTTTTAGCTTAACTTGGGTCTAGATGGCGCTGTGTGAGTTGTCCTGAGATTATTATTATTATTATTAACTATAGCCGCGGGTAAACTAATTTGAAATTTATAGTCTATGTAGTATCATAATTACATAGTATAAACTTTGTTTTGCGGATTATGAAGTGTTTTTTTAATAGATAGAAAAGGGATATAAAGGCATATAAAACATAAGCCACATAATGTTAATTGACAGTCATTGTTGTTTTTTTTTCAATAATAAATAATAATAGTAATGTAAATAGTTTCGAAGTAACGAATCAGGTATGCCTAAAAGATATATCTGATTCGCTAGTTCGAAGAACTTCGAAACTTGCGTTAGGTCAAGGTTACTATATTCGTGTCGAGATTTGTATATTTGCATTTTGAGTAGCATATAATATAGTATGTATGTTATAGTAATTGTATTTAGCAATACGTGACAGTAGCTACTTTATAAACCAATCAAAGACCTCGGCGGTTTAGCGGTTAAGCACACTTTTGATGGTCACGGGTTCGATCCTCGCACGGTACAAAAATTTTATATTCATATAACTTTTTATATAATTAAGTTTTCTACTCTATTTAGAATATAAAATAATTTATTCAAATAGACTTACATTGAAGCACTTTTGAATAGTCATCACATTTTTTATTCTACCGCTCATTCGGAAAACTGTCTCATCACAAGAAGAACGAGCACGAAACTTGCGTGTTGCTCTTTTAAATAAATTTATTCTTACTTTACATTTTTAAGTTTAAGTGTGCGAATACAAATTACTAGCACTAATTATGCTATTTAAAAGTCAATAAAGAATATATATGATTTATTTGTATGTATGTATGTATGTATATGCAAGAAAAAGACCCCAAATAAATGGGATAAGGAAGAAGCAAATGATGACTTATAGACACAAAAGTCGCGAGTTCAACAAATTTATTTAATTTATTTTTCTGCATGTTCAATCTGAGAGACAGCGGTAGGTTTACCAAGTTTAATCAAACATATCCAATGATATATGGACATATATCACGTTTACAGCTGACATGCCTCTGTTTGTTCCATCTGAGAGTACAAAACAATAATAATAATAATAACCCAGGATTACGATTCATCAATATATTGGATTTACTGCACTGCTTGATGTGGTGGTATTTATTTAGATCAAGAGAAGTATGCTATAAAAAATATTAATAAAAAAAACATCATTAATATATTAGTTAGATTGGCCGTCATTCAAAGCAGATTAAATAACAATTATTTGTGTATACCTATTAAGCTTTGCTTTTAACGTTTTGAATGTGAAAATATAAATAAACTGTGTACGCTAGACATAAGGTACGATGATCTTAATGTCGCTGGAGACAATAGTTTAAAAACATTACAAAAAATGTAGAATTTATTAAATAAGAGACATGCAAAAATTTGATGCATCTGCATTAAAATACGCGAACAAAACTAAAAATGATAGGTTATAAAAATAATTCCTATCTAAATTAGATGAAAACATTTGTAGTTTAAAAGAGAATGCAAGTTCTCACGGGAATATACACGCGTGCACTTACAAAAGGAATCATTTATGTATTCTCATTTTGTAATATACAATTTTTCTGAAGTAGCAAATTAGAGAATTGTAAATAAAAGACTTTATACACAAAATCACTCCGTCATGTGGAACATTTGA